CCTGAAAAATCACACAGGAAAGCATGGTATTCCTAGAGCCAGAGGCCATGTTTATGTTAGGGCATTTGTGGTGGGCACTTCAAAAGGAGAGTCAGGAAAAATGCCAGGAAGGCACCCTGCTATGAAAGGAGTCCCAGCACATGGTTCCGAGCTGGTGAGCTATCCGGATATGAAGAGACTTATACTTCACATAACAGAGGCTCCCAACACACACCAGACAAAGAAAGAAAGAGAAAGAAGAAAGAAAGAAAGAAAGAAGAAAGAAAGAAAGAAAGAAAGAAGGAAGGAAGGAAGAAAGAAAAAGAAAGAAGAAAGAAAGAAAGTCAACACACTGATAAAGTCGAAATTGCCTACAGAGATAATGTTTGTTTTCCTCAAGACTTGCCAAATAGGGATTTTAAATAGAAACTAGGGCTGGGGATATGACTCAGTGATAGAGCTTACCTAGCATATGTTGAGGCCTGGGGTTCAGTTCATAGCACCAGCTCACCTAGAACCAAAATGTTTTGACCAGGTCAACAAGATGCTGAGCAGATAAGGGGCACATGCCACTAAGCCTGACAATCTGAGCCATGGTATATACACCCCCCCCCTCTCCTCTTACAAAATAAATAGATAAGTAGAAACAGAATGTTTGTGACCTCTCTCATCCCTAAATCTAAACAATGTACCTCATTAAAAACTACAATTTCATTTTCAAAAGAAAATTCTTGAGTCAGGTAAAGTAGTGTACACCTTTAATCTCAGCACTTGGGAGGCAGAGGCAGGCAGATCTCTGTGAGATCAAGGTCAACCAGGTCTACATAGAGAGTCTCAGGCCAGCTGGGACTATGGAAGACCATTTCTCAAAAAACTAAACAAAAAAATAATAATAGTAATAACTTTTTTTGGAGCAAAGTACAGATTACAAAGTGATACACTGTCAAGACTGACCCCAGGCCACATGAATAAGAATACTCAAAAGCCCTGATTATTGTTTGGGCTTTCTTTCATGGGATTCAAGAGAAGGAGGGGCTGGTTACTAAAGGTATAGTTTGGGTAGTTCTCTATTTTGATTGATGATTAGGTCATATATTTATTTTCCTATTGCACATGTCTCGTCCCATAATGCATCTGTTTTTATAATTCATCTGATTTTTATTTCAGTTCCTGCCTTTTAAAAAATTAACCCATGGAGGGCTGGAGAGATTGCT